GCGCGCCGCCAATATACCCCCCTCATCTCCCATTGAACCTCTCGATGGGCAGGCCAAGAAGCCCCTGTAGACTCATCCTCCTGCTCCTTACCCCTCCTCCTCCCTGCCACCCGAACTCCTCCTTCTTATCTCTTCTGCTACCTCTTCCTCCTCCTCCTCGTTCTCGTCCTCCTCCTCCTCACCCCTGCCTCATCCTCCTCGTCCTCGTCGTCGTCTTCCCCCTCCCTCCTCCTCCCCCTCCTCCTCTTCCTCAACCCCTGCCTCCTCGTCATCTTCCTCCTCCTCATCTTCCTCCTCCTCCTCCTCCTCCTCCTCCTCCTCCTCCTCCCCCTCATCCTCCTCCCTCGGAGATCGGCCTCCAGACCTGTCTTGGAGCGCGTTCTGATCAAGTTTTCGAGGGGAAGCCAGCCGTGGCGAGGAGAGAACCCCTGCAGAACCAAAGGAGGCGAAGACCGCCAAAGGACCCCGAACTTCCTCAGGGGGCTTCTCCTGTTCGTCCCCTCTCCCTCCTCATCCTCATCGTCCTCCTCCTCCTCCTCCGTCTTCCTCTTGCTCCTCCTCCTCCGTCTTCCTCCTGCTCCACCTCCTCCTCCTCCTCCTCCCCCTCCTCCTCCTCATCCTCCTCCTCCTCCTCCTCCTCCTCCTCACCGTCTTCCTCCTCCTCCTCCTCCTCCGTCTTCCTCCTGTTCCACCTCCTCCTCCTCCTGAACTTCCTCCCTCAAACATCGGCCTCCGGACCTGTCCCAGTGTGGGCTCCGACCAGAAGTTCGGAGGGAACCCCGCCGCGGCGACGAAAGGGCTATGTGAGTCCCGAGCCCCAAGGTGTCTGCAAAGCGTCCCAAGCCTCTGGCCTTGAAATTCGAACCTCCCTCCCGTCCTCCCCTCCCTCCTCTTCCTCTCCTCCTCCTCCTCCTCCTCCTCCTCCTCCTCCTCCTCCTCCTCCCCCTCTTGCACTATGAACTTGTCCCATCAGGACGCGGTCCCGGGCGCTGCGCACGAGCGCCGACTGCACGCAACACTCCCCATCCCCGTCCTCTCCTCCTCCTGCTCGTCTCCCGTCCTCGCCTCTTCATCCTCCACCCACTCATCCACATCTTCCTCCTCCTCATTCTCCTCCTCCTCCTCCTCCTCCTCCTCCTCCTCCTCCTCCTCCTCCTCCTCCTCCCCCTCACCACCACCACCACCATCATCGCCATCATTATCATCATCATGATGATCATCATCACCATCACAACCACCACCAGCATCATCATCATCATCATCATCATCATCACCATGATCCTCGTCGTCGTCATCATCCTCATCACCACCCTCTTCATCAGCATCATCATCATCCTCATCATCAGAAGCATCATCAGCAGCAGCATCATGGTTATCACCAGATCAATGCGCCTCCTCCTCGCCCTCCTCCTCCTCCTTGTCATCATCATCAGCATCATGATCAGCATCACCATCATCATCTTCATCATCGTCATCGTCATCACCATCATCACCATTATCATTGGCATCCTCATCATAATCATGACCACCATCATCAGCATCAGCATCAACATCATCATCATCACCACCATCATCATCATCATCATCATCATCATCATCATCATCATCATCATCATCATCATCATCATCATCATCATCATCATCATCATCATCATCATCGTTATCGTCATTATTTCCATCACACCATAATCATCATCATCACCACCATCCGCATGATCAGCGTCATCACCATCATATTCATCGCTGTCATTAATTAGCATGGTCATCATCATCACCGTCACATCATCAACATCATCAGCACATTCATATTCACCATCTCCTTCTTCGATATCATCAAGATCACCATCGCCACCAGGACCGCCCACATCATCAGCATCATCAGCAGCATTAGCAGCATTACTATCAGCATCAGCAGCATCCTCATCCTACTCATCACTATCAGCATCGCCAACATCAGCATCGACAGCATCGTCGTCAGCAGCATCATCACCATCGTCATCCTCAGTGCAACCATCAGCATCATCATGATCAACATCATGTTCGATCTCATCATCACCATATCCATCGCAACCAAGATCACCATTATCATGATCAGCAGCATCACCATCATGATCACCATCATACCAATCATCATCATCATCATCACCATCATCATCATCATCATCATCATAATCATCATCATCATCATCACCATCATCATCATCATCATCATCATCGTCATCGCCGCCACTGCCACCACCACCACAATCGTCACATCAGGTCATCGCCATTACCACCATCATAATCAGCATCACCATCACCATCATCATTACCACAGAAACCAATACCAGCGTCAATGTGGACATCATCTGCCTCCTCCGTCTGGTCACCATCATAAGCATCATTATTCCTATCATGGGTAGTATCCTCACCATCAGCGTCATCATCATCATCATCACCACCACAATCAACATCGACATCCGCAACATCTTCGTCAGTATCACCAACATCGTCATCAGCATCATCATCATGATCATCATCAGCATCACCATCATCAGCATCATCAACATCATCAGCTTCACTATCATTGCAAGCATCATCGCCACCGTCATCGTCATGGTCACGATCAACATCCGCACAATAAACAACATCACCAACATCAGCAGCATCAGCAGCATCAGCATCATCACCGCCACAACTATCATCATCATCATCACCGTCAGCATCATCATCACCACCACCATCATCATCATTAGCATCATCATCGTCAAATCGTCCTCATCATCAGCATCATCATCAACAGCAGCACCATCAACATCAACAACAACAACATCATCGTCATCATCATCATCATCATCACCATCAGCATCAGCGTCATCACCATCATCATCAGCATCAGCATCATCATCATCATCTGCATCATCATCGTCACCATCGTCCACACCCTCCTCCTCCACCTCCTCCTCCTCCTGTCCCTCCTCCTGTTTGCCCTCCTCCCTCCTGTTCGTCCCACTCCCTCCCCCAAATCCTCCTCCTTCTCCTCCCCCTCCTCATCCTCCTCCTCCCCCTCCTCTTTCTTCTCCTCCTGCTCCTCCTTCTCCCTGGGGTTTCCTCCCTCCTTACTCCCTCCCTCCTCCCTCCTCCCTCCTCCCTCCTCCTCCTCCGCCTCCTCCTCCTCCTCCTCCTCCTCCCTCCTCCTCCTCCATCCTCCTCCTCC